ACTGACGAGGTCCAAAGTCAGGTTTTATTTCTGATGTGAAATTGACTAATTCCTCATCAAACACTAAGAGGTTCATTCAGAATTTCCTGGGAATTTGTTCAAGTTGTACAATGTGTGTTAAGAAGCTGGACTTTTAGCCATCCCTGTGATTTTTTTGTCATCTCTGACAGAAGATGATGTTGGTATGGATGTGTGTACTTGTTTCTACTACAGAGTGAGGACCATGTTACATTTTTAGCCAATTAAGTGAGGACATTTTTCCGGTCCTCACTTTATTTGCAGCTCTACTAGTTAGGTTTAGGGGTATGGTGTGAATTAGGTTTAGGTTAAGGTAGTGTTAGGAATAGACTAGCAATGGTTAATTTTAGGGAAAAATGTCTGGATTAGGTATAAATACAGTTACAAGAATGAATGGAAGTCAATACAAAGTCCTCAGTTTGATGCAAATACAAGGATGTGTGTGTTTTATCAAGTACTTTAATTTGAAAGAAGTTTCACACCTAATAAGTAAGGGTCAGCTCATTGTTTTCTGACCTAAACATTCATTTTACTGATGGCTGCGCCACATACATAAATTATAGTTTCAACATTCATTACTGCGCAGCAACAAGAATTTGTACAAATAACCCATCAAGTCTGGTTTTCTCGTCAACACCAAAGACCATCTTGGTCACCAATGTTATACAATCCATGTTGGAAAAGACCACCACTAACAACAAGCTGCTTCAACCTGTAACCTTGTGGGTTTTCCTTACCAGTTTGTTTGGGTAACGCAACAGGACGGGTTGGACAGGGACTCCAGCAAGGAAGGCACCTGACAGGACAAATAAATAAAAGAAAGATGATTTAGAAAAAAGGAGTAGTGCCACCTCTACAGGACAGAGACAGATCAGATAAAAAGACAGAACTGATTGTTTTACTACAGATTCTTACCAGGCTTAAATTTGATGAGAGCTCGGCCGTTAGTCGTGGTTCCCTCAGGAAACATCAACATCTGGACAAAATAAAACAGCTGTCAGTGTTTGTGTTAAAGTAACTGGTGACACAGGTTACTATTAACAGGATGATTTTCTTCTGTTTATTAAAGAAATGATCTAATCCTCATTAACTGTGCTTTAATCACAAACAGCAAGACTGACATTTGTCTCGTTGCCTTTARTCCAAGAGTTTTAAACGTGGATCATCTTGTGATAAGGGACARAGTTACCGCTGCTTTGGTCTCATGAAAGCCATTATGTACAACCTCAATCTGGACTTTATATTGTGTTCTTTGCAAGCAGACTGTAATTCATAAACAAAGCCATGCAGGTGACGATCATTGCTTTCATTGGACAGARATGACGGAGGCAGACCTGGTTTATTGATTTTCTTTAGAAAGTTTAATCTGTGCTGTGTGTGTTATGTACTTGTGCATCCGTCCAAATATCAAGGAGGCAGTGTCTCCTTGTTGTTCCAGTTCTGTCCACGGCTCATTGTTTGTAGTGCAGTGTTAGCGTCAGCAACACTGAAGGGCTAAYTGTTACCATGTTAACAATGGTGGCTGGTGAAGTCCAAAAAGGTGCATGTCTCCTGTAGTTTGTTCGGTTTGAAGCAGGTCTGTGTTCACACCAGAAGAGAACCACAGCAAAGTTCATTTAGAAGAGGACCGAGACCACCTCAAACATGGGTCTCAGTCCGGTTCGCTCCACTCCAGGATTTATCACACCTGCATGGAAGGTCCRGACCAACGGGGGAAACGAACTCMRGTCTGTTTAAAGTGGACTAAATGTGTCAGWTGAGTACGCTCTATCAKTTGTGCCTTTAAGGGGTTAATGTTTGTGGTTCCACACAGGAAGAGGAAGGTGTTTAAGCAGGAGATGAAAATGAGTGAGTTGTGTCTGAGAGCAGCTCATGTTCTGAGTTTTTTATTTTTACCGTTGCACAATAAAAGTTGTGAGTCCACTGGCTCACCTTCTGTGAGAGATTACWATCCTTCAGACATTGTTCTTCTCCACATTGTTACCACTGGAGGTTTTTTAAAAGCCTCGCTCAAACAAAAGCAGAGCATTCCTTTAGTTCTTCACTGCAAACAACTTTAGCTCTGTGTGGCTTTTAAACTTTCAGGTGCATTTCCTCCTCTCAGAGCTGCAGCAGTGTTAAGTGTGCCAAAACATGGGGGTCTGATTTATACTTTTTCCACAATTAATTAATCATAATTAACAGGCTAGTCCTGACCTTAGTTATTATCTAAAAATATGARATGATTTTATGGAGGCGTCGAAATGACAGCACACCTTTCTAACAAAAAGCCTGACTACCTCACCAAGATGAGCTCAAAGATGAGTTACAGCCATCCATGTAATAGCTGTGGCAGCCATCTTGAATTTGATTGACCCYAAAGRTTTATGAGCTGGGAGGATTTTTAACCTCAGCTGAATCTTCCAGAAGCAGAGGCCGACCCTCCTACCTGAGGCCAGTAGCCTTTAGAGGTCAGCCTCTCGATGAGCTTGGCCACGGCCCTTTTCCTCGACTCTGGGTCTTTCCTGCTCACAATCACGGACTGGTTGAACTCCAGCAGAGCTGAAACAGAAAAACAAAAAGAAAACAAAAAATCAAAAACAAAAATCAAACAAGGAGTGAGTTTAGAGCAGCCAAGAAATCCAGACAGGAAGTACAGCAGCCCAGAGAGCAGATTAGAAACCAATAGAGGACGTCACTTGTTTAGCTTTGAACTTCCTGACAGATTTCTGCTCCTGTGACTCAGGTTTTCTCCAAACACAGCTCCTGTTGGCACGAATCRTTGACGTCTGGGTGAAAATCTTATTTTTGTACACAGTTCATTGAGAGTATCWTTTAAAGTTTGTCATCCTGGAAATTTAAAATGTACCAAGCATGATGACTGAAAACAAAGACTCAAGAAGTTTGGACAAACTTAGCGTTGCTGATTTGCTACATGCGAAAAAATCCTGAGACGTCCTGATCAGAAGGTTTGTCATTTATGGAGCATGTTTACAGGAAACAAGTCCTCTTGTGTCATACTGAGGTTTGTTCGTCAACATTATCTGACAGACTCTGCAGCTTGGAGCCATCATCCTCTTAAATAAATCCACCTGTAAAAATAAAGAAACCCTGTCATCTCTGCACTTCAAAGCKGATCTTTTTTTAATCAACTGGCCGAGTTTGTGTCTCCCTAATTATAAAGACTTTTGGGACAATTTCAGGTTTTGTAAAAACATTACAGTGTAGTATTCATACAGTAGGGGTTATACTTTAGGAAGTTTATTTCCTGGCTTCTTTGCGGCGGGGGTCTGGCTGGGCGTCCTGGTGCGGCCCGTGCCGGGCCTTGGCTATCTGCTCCTCTCCACCTCAGAATGATTGGGTCTACCTCCTGGGTTCAGGTGTGTGC